AAAGAAAATTAAGATTTTCATAATTTTAAGGTTAAATGATTATTTTAAAGAAATTATGCAATTAATTCGTTAAAAAACTGGTTCATTATGTTTGATATGTTTCTGTATACATATGTGTAAATTTTTTTGTATATTCAAAGAATATTTTTGTAAGAAATAGTACCTATGCATGAAAATATATATTATAAGATCTCGAAAATTATGTTCATGTTAATTAAAACAAAGGGGGGAAAACATATGAATTTAAAATTACTTTTGTAACTCTAGAAAATTATTAAGGATTATTATTAGTCATATAAAAATAGGCAAGAAAATACTAATCAAGTGTATAATATGTGAAAATATTGTTTTTTTTTAGTTTTTTCACTTTTTCTCAAAAGCATATTTTTTTGCATTGAGGTACATTTTTTTAAAAAAATATTGCACTATATGATTCCAGATTTTTTATACTTCTATACAAGATGCCTATGCATATAGTGAACCTATTTTTTTATATTAAGATAGTGCCTAATTTTTTAAAAATAGTTTAATGCATAAAAAAAGCAGAACATTAAAAAAATTTCAAATTTCAAAGTTTCGTAATTTTTTTAAAGAAACTATACTAACATTTTACTAACAAAATGGGTTCAGTGTATTTTATGTATTGTTTTATATATGTGTAAAAAATATTTTGCATAAAAAAAGGATAATTTTTTTAAAAAATGGTACCTAAACATAAATATATATTACGAGTTCTCAAAATTTATGTATTACTTAAATTAAGTAGTAAAAAAAAAAACTTTTGGAGTTAAAAGTTATTTTTGTAATTTTACAGAATAATTGAATTATCTTTATTAAGAACGTAAAAAATATAAGCACTATTTGAAATTGTAAATGATATATGTCTCATAAACAAAGAGTCTTAATTTTGGCATTTTACTCTTTCGAGCATGTCCTGGTTCTCTTAATCATTTTATTCTTATATTAAGAATTATTTTTTGCTTTTTAGTTCGATTAAAACTATAAAAGCGTGTTTTTTAGTTGTTTTTTTTAAAATTATTTTTCATTTCTTAGTTCGATCTACAATAAAAGCGTGTTTTTTAGTTTTTTAAACTATCATTTATTCGTTGATGAATTAATCTTTTTTGTTCGTTGTATTTGTATTAACCATGAGTGTTATTGTTTTTGGGTAGTAACTTAATTTTATAGTCGTTAAATCTGGAAATAGGATCTGGAATCAGTTGCTAAATCTGGGAATGGAAAATCGTTAATCCTGATGATCCTGATCAGGACAATGGAACAAAATTATTAAATTATTGCATTGTCACCGGTCCTTGATAATTGTGCAAAATTTTGATTTAATCTAACTTTTTAAAGTGGGTAAAAATCAATCGAGTTCAAAGATTCCGTTCCATAGAAGTGAAGCTAGTAAAAGCGTGTTAATAAAATGACATTTAAAATTGCACACGAAGTTCATTTCGGTTCACGCTGTTGTGTTGGTTACATCGTTTCTCATTGAATTATGTCGACGAGAAAATCTCGCTAGCAATTTAAGCAACTGGAGCAATTATACAGACGACGAGTTTTGGGGCTCCGGAAAGGTTGATGGTCTAATCGACGGATTACGCAGCGTATTGATTAGTGTTAATGTTACTGGTGGGCTCAGGAAGGACTCCTAGACGAACCGGGCTGAGAGAGGATCGATGTGTTAGCAGCAATGACTAAAAACCATCAGGAAGTGTGTGAGTGCGTTGTGTGTGTGTGGGGGAAATATTTTCATTCACATTCCATAAATAATCGCACTATTTGTTGATGACTTTAAGATGTGAAAGTAAACTCGTGTAGACGGTTATGACGACTGCCTTTAACAGCGTTGCGCTGCTGTCAAAGATTGCATTAGTGTCGTGCTGGACGGGCATGGGTTCTTGAATAGTATCGAGTGATTTTTGCGACGAGTTCCACTTCTATCTTGGTGTAGACGACAATCGAATTCGTGTGTAGAGACAACGTGGTCAGTGTCAAGATCCACGGTTCATTGGGAAAGTCCCGCATAAAAGTCCTAGTGTTATGGCATGGGGTTCATTTGAGAATTGAGCTAAATCTTCTTATATGTACGTTATGGGGTTTTTGACAGGTCAACTTACTTAAAAGATATCTTGCAGCTCGATGTGGTCTTAAACTCTTGCCTACTACCAGTATGAAATCTGTGGTAGACAAGGAAGGTTATGTCAACACAGGATGATAGGCATCTCATACGTATGCAGTGGTGTAACGCACCCCCCGTAACCCCCGCATCGTGGGGGCCAGAGGATTCTAGGGGGTCCAAATCCTGACTGACACTAAGTACGTATTTAGTCAATTTGAGCCCAAAACCTGATTTTACAGGGGGAGGGGCTAATATTTTCCGTTACGCCTCTGTCCGTATGGCAGTAACGAGCCGTACACCTCAGTAATTAATAGAACATTGGAGTTCTGTTTCAGGTATGTCCCTTTCTCTGCCCCAACAGTTTGTCAGCGTCTGCTGTGCTAGTATTCCTTTATATAGTATACCTCTCAGGCAAAAGCATTGGCATCTGTGGCTACAATAGGCTTGTAGACATAGACAAAGGTTTTAATGGCTACTAGCGTTGTTCTTCGAAGAAACACGAGGGTTACTGGCGACTGTATTTGTAATTTTGAGCCACGGTCAAAGAACAAGGGTAACATCAGCACTAACAATTCACTATTCAAATTTCCACACCACTCTTTGAGCCTTCATAGGTATAACTGTACATCAGCACCTATACGCAGTGGATCTTCATCGGTACCAGGATTCGAACTCAAGACTCTACAAGAACAACAACGCTGACTTAATTTATGGTTCAGCAATAGCCACGAAAGATACAATTTTTTAGAACATCCTTAATGAAATAAGAAAAAAAAAATTACGATGCTTGATTGGTTGTTTATTAATGTTGCCCTCAGAAGAAACAAGAAGGATATGATAAAATACGTAAATAGTATTTGAGTTAATGTTTTTTATAATTTTGTATTGATTTTTAATGCCTCTTTTCTGGATACACTTTTCCTTTTTATTTCATTTAAAAGCACGTAAAACGTAAAGTAAAAAAAAACAAACATTTTTTTCAAGAAACTGTTGAGTGAATTAAAGTATGAATTATAAAAAAATAATTTAATCTGTTACTTGATTGCTAAAAAATCATCCTAAATTTCAGTTAAGAACTGTGAATTATTTTGATCTTAAAGTAATTCTCATTCTAAGAAGATTGAATTTCAATCTTCGATGTCAAAACGTCATATTATTTTCACTTTCAGACTGTTTCAAAAAAATAGTTTGTTAAAATATTGCAATCATCTTTCATGATTTTCTTTAGCACAATCTCCGTTCATATTTCCATTATAAAAACAAATAAAAAATACAGTAAAATAATAGTAAAATGAACTCTAGTCGTATTATATATCCTATTAACTTGAAGAACAGTTAATTATAATGCATTTATTCTAAGCTGATTATTGCGTTAAACACACATCAAAGCATCCCGAATCGAAAGATGTAACATTAATGGGACTAAATGCTAATCAGCTTAGTAGGTAAAAATGCATAAGCATTGATCAGTTAAAAGTACTTAGAAACAATTTTTACCTTAATAGATATAATGAAACACACAAAAAATTTACTCGACCTCCATAAATCTTAGATTGTTAAATTATATAAACATCACATTAAAAACAATTTCTCAAAACTGGTGCTATTCTCAATGCACCTCTCAATTTTGAACCTCATTCAAATGAGATGGATGAAACCTGAGCTTTACTCTTTACTGTGTGTGTGTGTGTGTGTGTTACTCTATACAAAAATGTAAAGTTTAGATCCTAGCAATGAAACATGCATCAACACCGTTACATGACAAATTTAGAAAAGACCAGACTCGAACTTGCAACTTGTTGGATATATCTGCAAAGTTGTCATATGTGTGAGAAGTGTCAACTACTTCTACCAATAACAATAATAATTAGCATAGTTTTGAGCAATAAATCATATTTAAAAAATTAAAAATTTTGCCGCTTAATATTTTTATGCAATCAGATATAGTGCATTAGAAGATTATAAATATATATATATATATATATATAATCCTTTTTTTTTTTTTATTTACTTTACAATGACATCCCCTAAAGAGATAGGAAAACAGATTATATTGCTTTCCAAGAATAACATTGTAAAATTTGAGGAACAGCAAACTAGTATTAAGTCAAATAACTTATAATTATTTGAGTATTATTTTATCAGGATAAAAATTTTGAAAAATACAAAATTTCATCAAAATAATCTGAATGTCAGCGCGTGAATAATTTTTTTAGATTTCACATGAGTTGGATGAAAATGGTGAAATCACGAGTATTGTGAGCTTTCACTGAAATTTGTTGTTTGTTGTTATCGTGTGTTTCACACTGGGATACATACGAAAGAGATAGATGAACAGAAGCATACAATACAAACACAGAAGTAAATATTTTTTTCTTTATAATGTGGCTGCGTATTGGTATTTCTACCTTTGTAGACCACCCATTTAGGCGATACCAATTACCGCAAGTAATTTTGACACCCATTTTCTTCCCCAGAGGGAGGCACCCGAGATCTGCACCTGCCGATGCGATGCGAAATTTGTACTTAGGAGTTTAATTTTGCCGAAAGCATTCAAGTCAAATGGACACTAAAGGATCATTTTTATGCCGCGTATAATCATACGACATGGGCGCTGTCAACTTTCTGCATCATGAAAATCCACCAAATTGGGCCGGGATCGAACCCGCAACCTTGTGTACAGAAGGCCAGCGACAAACCAACTACGCCACCCAAAAGAGAGAGAGAATATATTTAAACTGTAAGTTTATTATATAAACTTTTTATTTCCAATGAGGATCCCAGCATAGAACATAAGGAACGCGCTGCTTTCCATTCGAGACGGGAAGCCCTTTCGTGCGAAAGTCCAACTGCTTTTCCCGAAGAAACATTCATGTCTTATTTTCGGGATTCGAACCCGAGCCCACTCGATTACAAGTCGAGTGTCATAACCACCATACTAGGTGGAACGGCACTGAAATTTGTGTTATCACATTATTATCTAAATACCTACTACTTTGTGTTCAAACTCATCACGGCACAAACTCACTTTCCCATAATTTGCCGCTGCCTTGTTACTAACAAGATAAGTAAAAAGTAATAAATTAAATTTCCTTCAGAATCTCCCACTTTAAAGAACTTTTTTTGGGTGGAGGGGGGTTAGCAAATATTCATTTCACAAATAGTTGCTACTAAGAATATAATTACAATTATTATGGTACCAAAGAAAAATTCAACATACACACACACGAATATGTTTTATTCTTTATCTTGATTGATTGAATATTAACGTCGCACTGTTCAGCTACACGAGGGCTTTTGGCGACGGACCACGTAATTTTGAACCATGGTCAAGTGACGTGGACGACACCTGAGCTGGCACCCTCTCTCCTAACTACCACACCACACCAACGGGAGGACATTTCAGCTCTCGACAGATTTAACGTGCATCGCTGCCCTACACGGCGAGTCTTTAGTAGTACTGGGCTCGAACTCGTGACAAGGCAAGCCACGGTCTGATACCTATACCACTCGGCTACCGCGGCCACTTATTCTTTATCTTACTGAACTGATTTTACCATACGTTTTTCAACATTACATTTTTCCTAAAATTTCTTGTGGCCACGGTAGCATAGTGGTCAAGGTAATGGACTCGTGGCAGGGAAGTCATGAGTTCGAGCATAGTACCGCTGAAGACCAGACGTGTAGAGTGGGCTGATGCTTGTTAAATATATGGAGGTTTAAACGTCCTCCCAATGGTGTGGTGTGGAAGTTAGGAGAGGTGGTGCCAGCTCAGATGTTGTCCTCGTCACTTGACCATGGTTCAAAATTTCGAGGTCTGTAAGTGAGTAAGTGAATATTAATATCGCATTGTTCAGCTACACGAGGGGTTATGGCGACGGGCCTGGTAATTTTGAACCATTGTCAAGTGACGAGGACGACATCTCAGCTGGCACCACTCTCTCCTAACTGCCCCACCACACCACGGGTGGATGTTTGAGCTTACGACGTTCGAGGTCTGTCGCCAAAAGCCCTTGAGTAGCTGAATAGTGCGGCGTTAAAATTCGCTCACTAAAGGAACACGAGGTGATGAGGTACATCACTTTCCGAAGTTTCATATTATGCAAACGTGAGGTCTTTGAGCCGAGACAGGTTTAACGTGCACAAGCCTCTACACGGTGAGGCTTCAGTGGCACTAGGACTTTAACTCATGACATGCCGGCCATGAGTTCGTTACCATAACCACTAAGCTACTGCTGTCCCCGAAAACAGTTATAAAATTAGAATCGCACAACTTGTAACAGTTTTTACTCAGATGTTCAATAGTTATTTCAAGCAAATTTTTAGGAATTTTTTAAGGCAGAAATTATCGTTATTTCTAATAAATAAAGGAAAAAGTATTATTCAAAAAAACTCAACATTCTCTTAAAACTTTTATTTTACTTAACAGGATATTTGAAGAATAAATTATGTTAGGAACAAAATATTGTATTCTATATATTTTTTTTTTCTGAAACAATTTATGAAACGGATTTCAATAGCTGCATTCAAGTATAGAAATCCAAATACATATATTTTTTATTCTGATTTTTTCTGGCTCTGTAAACATCTTGTAGCGAATATTCTAATCGATATTCTAGAAGTAAACAGAGAGGAGCTTAACAGAAAGCTCTTAAGCACGTATTTCTAATACCGTTTTGCAAATACATATCACTTATGAATATCTGAAGATTAACCCTTGAGAGCGAGAAACGTATATATTGAGATCAAATAACTTTAAAATTGTCTGGAAAATAAGCATTTTAAATATATAATCCTTTTAATTGGAGAGCTTACTAAATATTACAGCCATTTTCGATTCATTTAATGTGGGATTATATAATTTTTTTTGGTAATTAGTAATGATGAAGGGAATGTGGAAAAATGCACAAATATTCCTGTAAATGCAAATAAATCAATTGAAAATAATTTATTTATTTATTTTAAAATCTTATATCTATGTTTTTTATGGCTGAAAATATCAAGAGGAGGTAATTTTATCCAACGAGAAAGATTTTTCTGTAAGCTACAACTTATGAAGTATTGTATATCATAACACACATATTTTAATTAATAAATGGATGAAAACTTTATTGGATTAAAAGTTTTTGGAGTTAATGCATGTAAATATAACAAAAAGCTACTGTTTAGAATTGCATAAGTACTTTTGTTCTCAAAGGTCCGCATGACTACAAATTAATTATAAACTTAACTCCGTGGCGCAAAAGCCCATGGGGGGCAAGGCCAAATGTACCCATCTCAGTTTTTGTGACCTTGGGCACTGAAGTTCATGAAAAGATGTTCCGCTCAGGTGGTCAGTCTGACGCGAAACCCCAAGTGTTTGGTTTCCACGCAAACTTGGCCTAATTTATTGACCCACTGAAGGGATGAAAGGCTGAATTGACCTTTCCCAGCCTGGGATTTGAACCATGGACCTGTGGCGTGAAAGTGCGATACGCTACCACTTAGCCACTGGGCTTATGTATAACATATTGATTCCAAATAGTGTTTAGGCGTCATATATACCTTAAAAGAGATGAGTCTATGGTAGCCCAGCGGACATGGCCTCGAGCTTGTAGCCGGCGTGTCGTGAGTTCAAGCCCTAGAGTCACTGAGCCTCAATGTCTTCTCGTTGAGGTCGTTATAAGCGAATGGTACCAGCTCAGATGTCGTCCTTGTCACGTGACCGAGCTTCAAAATTACAAGGTCCGTCTTCAATAGCTCTTGTGTTGCTTTGACGTAAAAATAACTCTCAACTCGGCCGCTGAAGACTCACCTAGTATAGGGCTGCTCCGCGTTAAATCTGTCGAGGCTCAAAGTCCTGCCATTGGTCTAGTAGTTTAGAGAGGGGACAGCGGTGTCGTCCTCGTCCCTTGACTGTGACTCAAAATTACCCAGTCTGTCTCCAATAGCGACAGACTATAGGCGATGTAAATAAATATTCACTCACTATAAGGGGTATTTAGATGACAATAATCCTTAAAAGTTTGATTCATTGGGTATTAATAAGTTCTATGGCTTATTCCAGCTCATCGTATAGAAGGGGCTGATGCACGTTAAATCTGTCGAGGCGCAAAGTCCTCCCGTAGGTGTGATGTGGCAGTTTGAAGTGGGCGTGCCAACTCGGGTGTCGACCTCGTCACTTGACTGAGGTTCAAAATTATGAGGTGCGTAACCCAAAGCTCTTGTGTTACTTTATATAGTGTGACGTTAATAAACGCTCTCTCCTCTTAATATATAGTTGGCCACCTTTTTGCGTACATGCGTTTTTCAGCGATGTGAATATTTCTCTAGATTACATTTCTTTTATTAAAAAATTACTAGGAAAAAGGGTTGAAAGATATTTAAATAAGAAAGTTAAAAAGTGATTAAAGTAATTACCTACTAATTTCGTATGTAGTTTTAACAAAGCTCGTAATTGTTCATTCGTACACCTAAACCAGGGGTCGCCAAACTTAGCAAGCTCCTGAGAGCTGTGTTTAAATCCTACTGTGACCTACCAACCAAAAGAAGTACTAACTATAAAAAAAGTCTTACATTTGTTTATCGACTACAAACTTGCATTTCTAGCGAATATGAAATAAATTTTTATTAAATTGTATATAACAACAAAAAAAAAAAAAACTGAATTGTACATAAGAGATTGAAATGTAGTAAATAATAAAAAACAAATAGTAAAACAGTTTCTTATATTTATGAACTTAAATGAGAGGGATGGAACCCTATGTTTTTGTGTGTCATCAAGTTTTTTAATGTTGCGAGGAAAGGTAGTGGCTGTTGTGTAATTTACACCCCTAACCCCTGCATCTCGTGGGGAAGGGGCAGGATTCTAGAGAGCCCAAAGCCTGACTGACGCCAAGTACACATCTTTTGTAGGATTCTGCTTGGGGCCCAATACCTGACACTGCAGGGAGCCTAATATTCTCCGTTATGCCACTGGGTAGTGGCGATCTACTGGCAAATTACTAGAAGCTCATGATCGACGGTTTGACTGACTGATCTAAACTAATATGCAACATAGGAGCGAAGATTCTTAGAGTTTTCTTATAAACATAATAACCATTGATATATTATCCAAGGGCTGTGTGCTTAGAATTCCCTAACTGTACCAGAAAGAAGACACCAGAATACTATGACAGTAAAAAATTTCTTCTTTTTTTGTACTGTACTTACCAAGGGAAACGCTACTCTTGTTTGAATGCTTACAGACATTCTAATGCTGGCTTCAAATTAATGTTTTGCCTTCGTTTATCAAAGAACTTGCCTTTATCCTTTTATGTAAACTGTTCTCAAATGGTTGTGGGTTTGAACATTAATTCCAGCCGATAATATACTATGCTGAATCACCCGGGAAGACACAATTGTTTGAATTTGGATACAGTTGATTACTATACTGAGAATTAACGCTCTGGTTATACAGCTTCTAATTCTGTGAATCCTGAAATACTGGATTATGTAGTTGAAATTTGAAAATTCCGATTCGACTACTTCTAGCACATACAAGGTAAGCTGAGTTTACATTTCTTAAATTTCAAATAGTGTTGATTATAATTTGATTTAAAGCATTTCAAAATGTCTACTGACGTATTCAGGAAAAATAAAATCTAGACGTACTGCATTGCGTAAATTAACAGCTTTATTAAATCAAGTTGAAAATAAACAAAATTTGGGTGACGAACTTGATGAATCAGAATTGCATGAGGATTATGATAATTTTAGAGATCAAGCTAAACATTTAAAGTTACTTTAATCAAGATATTAAACATTTAATTCTTGCTGATTCCATTCAAAGGGAAGTAATCGCAATCGAGGGGCATCAAGAAAAATGCTTAAGATTAACTAAATGAATTTCGTAGACTTGAAAAAAAAAGAAACTTAGCCATGGGAGAAGTAAATAATGCTCTAAATCAAAATGAAAGTATGT